AGTGATTATAATTATAATAGAGATCCTTCTGATTTAACATACGAACAAAATAAATTCTCTGTGCTTCCTCCAACTAACAATCAGAATGATTTCTCTATATCTCCTTTAACAAATAATTTTCATCAACATTCCAATGAAATCAATTTAGATGATAGCATTTATCATCATAATCCAGATCAATATTTAGAACATGACAATGTTATCATGCAACAATTTCCACCACCACATGCGCAACAACAACAAAATACTGAAACATTTCCAAATCATCAAAATATCATTTCTGCTACTACTGCAAACGTTGGTGCTACAACTACCATTGCTGACAATAACAACATGAACTCTTCAATCTTGACCCCATTATTAAATCCTCCTTCTTTTTATTGTGAAAACAATAATAATATTACTTGGCTTTTGACTTGTCTTGAAAAACGTATTAATCAAATTGAAGAAAGTAAGAATCAAAGAATTTTTGCAAGCAACAATTTACCACAAAATAATGCTTTCGATAACGGTTATTACAATTATAATAGTAGTAATATTAGTAATAGTAGTATTAGTAATGAAGATATTTACGATCCTTTAGGTAAACTTTTTATTCATGCAATGTTGATCGAAATCTTTATTTTGATAAAGTTTATTCAACTCGGCAATAATTAATTCTTATTTTTTTCTCAATACAATATCTCTTTTTTATTATTCATTATTATTGTTTTATTGTTATTATTTTTATTAAAAAATGCTATTATGGCGATAAGATTGAAGATGGCTATTGAAAATTCCCTTAATACTTTTTAAAAAAATAAATATTTATCTCATTATAAAGTTGTGCAGACTATAAAATAATAGTTGGCTGTCCCCTGGATGACATACAAGCTTTGGAGGGCCTCTCCCGGAGCTTACATGGTTAAGGAGATAACCATTGTTTTATGGCTCATTACATAATTTCGGAATAGTCGCCTTAAATCCAGTCAGGGTATAATAATACATTTAGTGGCGCGTAAGTACAGTATTTAACCGTTCCGTTACAATAAAGTTCACAAGCGCCAGCCAATTACATAATAACAAGCTATCTCAAACTTAGTGCGTGATATCCGTCTATAGTCACCATTTGGCCGAATTTAAAATCTTAGAGTTTTAAATATTGTTAAATAAATAAGTTTTTTTTAAATTATTTCTGATTGAAATCTTGTATTTTTTAACAATATACACATCATTGTCAATTTTGACACAAAATCAAAAGGTCTTTACTTTGTTGACATCGGCAGAAAAAATGTAAACCATAAAGATTCACACAGTGAAAGCATTGAGTATAATAACCGTTTTTACAACAGTTTAAAAATATTAATAAAATACTAGGCAAGTTATTGTAAAAACGGTTGTTACGTTCAATGACTTTACTATGGTTAAATATTGCTCATGTATTGATTTTTTAGTAAATTTAGCCGCTTTAATCTTTTTTTTTTTTTGAAATATATTAATTAAATATTCAACATCCAATTTATTTTGTTATTTTACGTTTAGATATGTCAATTTTTATTACTTTCTCAAAATCTTTCATAATAATAAGAAAATAAATAATAAAATAATGTGCATATTTCTAAACACTCTAATTATAATGTGATAGACAATTTAGTTGTCTCTAGACCTTAACCTTTTGAAATTTTGTTCTAATTCAAGGTAATGTTGATCAAGCTTCATCCTACATTCTTTAATCATTAGCATATGATGAGAAATAGCCGCAATTAAAGGGTCATCATTGTTGCTCATGTGAATGCTTCCATAATTGAATGAAGAAACATTTAAATTTAAATTGTGATCATTATTAAAATTTGGATTATTAATTAAAGATGATGCAAGAAAGTTGTTATTGTTGCCGTCATTAGTCATTTTTTGAAATGATAATGAATTATCGAATACAATAATTCCTTGATCAAGGTTTTGAATAAGAGTTTGCTGATTTGGATCATTAATTCGTTGAAGTTGTTGTCGTTAAACTTGCTGCTGTTGACTGAAATTTTGAGTCTGTTGCTGTTGAAGATTTGATTGTACATGATGCTGAAGTTGTTGATCGTAATCTTGCTGTTAGAGTTGTTGTTGAAGTTGCTGAACGGGATGTTGAAATTGTCCATCATAATAATAATTTCGTTGTTGTTGTTGGGAGTGTTGACCGTTTTGTTGAGATAATTGTTGACATTTTTGTTTATATAAAAAAAAAGTAAAATTTTGATTGATTATATGTTTAATAAATATTTTTATATGTATAAAGTATGAGAAATTTTTTTTTATATAAACGAAAAAAGTTAGCTACCTTTTATACATATCAATAAAAAAATTCGTGACTTCATATGTTTCATGATTTGTTGGAATATATTAATATTAGAAATTTTTATCGATCAATTCGGATAGAACTGCGTTACACGCATTTAAAAAAGATCCGCTGCACAGACTATATATATATAACACCACCACCTCAAAATTTGCACAAATGTTCTGCTATTTTTGTTCTTTCCTGTGCGGAAAATAACTTTTCCTGAACGGAATTGGATTTTGATTTTTATAAATTTGTCATAAATTCGTGATGATCTATATTTTAACTTAACGCATAACATAAAAAATAAAACTAATAGATAATTAAAGCAATAATAAATAAATAGCATTTCTAACTATCATTTATTATTAATAAAATGAATAAAGGTGTAAGCAAAAAAATTTTTGGTTCTTGTATAGTATGTGGTAATCAAGATATATATTATATAAACTCTATATTATATGATTGTTAAATATGTCAATATAATTGGATTTTGTGAAAATAAGCTGTGAAATCAATCCTCTTGTCGATCAGTTTAGAAATTTAATTATTAAAAATTGAAATTTTGCATGAATGATTTTCATTGGTTAATATCACTCGGATTAATTATTTACGTCACAATAAGAAATTTCAAAATTTCAGTATTTATGCTGATAGCTTAAACAGGCAATTTTAATTTTTTTAAGTAGTTTTTTCTTTTAAAAAAAATATATATATCTAAAAAAACATATAAAAATAAACATCTAAATACAATTTTCAATATTGTTATCACTACCACCGCCTTATTCTTCACCATTTTCTATTCTAATTGTTCCCATATTTCCATCATCATCAATTGTAATATCTATATTATCATTGTTGTTATTCTTTGGACATTTTAATTTGTAATTAAAATAAATATATACCAATTTAAAACAAATTCAGGTGTCAATAGTTTATTTCTATTTTTATCATTTATAAAAGAAAAAGTGGACCAATTAATTTTAGAAGCAAGTTGATGGAATACGAGCTGAAATTATCAATTCTACCAAAATTTTGATTTTGTCATTTCTTAAAAATACTACTATCAATAATACAATCAATAATTCGTGATAAAAGTAGATAAAAATCTATATGTCGAACGGATCGTCAAATTAAATTTTCGTTACACAAGATATAAAAATTTCGATTTAAATCTGTAAATTTAATAAAAAAAAGTCTTCAAAAATGGCATCTTCTATAAACAACCATTCATCATCATCATTGCCATCATCGTCATCGCTAATTAAAGAAAATTTTTGTTTAGGAATAAAATTAATTTGTTTTAAATGGACAGCTTTAAAGTTGGCAGTTGATCATCAATGGGGTGGTGTTGACTCTGAGGATAAACAAGAATGGCTTATTGGTGAAATTGTAGATTATTTCGAAAAAAGTAAAGATTTTTTTTTTTTATATTTTATAAAGTATGTTACTTGTTTTGATCAGTTGACAATTTTATAAATAAATAATACATAGATCATAAAAATGCCGATATTGAAGATTTAGAAATGATTTTGACACAAGTTATGATGGATGAATTTGATACTCTATTAGAAGATGATTCGGCATATCAGGTAGATGAAAATAAATAAAAAAATAAAGGAATGTTTTTTACCTAATTTATTAATTTAAATTTTCTCTTTTTTGTGTGGGGAAAAAAGATATCAAAGGATTTTGTAAAATTATATAATGAATGCATAAATGAAAACTTCACAACAGTTGAATTATTAAAATCAAAACAGTCTTCTAACCATATAAATCCATCAACAAAAATCAAAAACCAACAAGATGATGATGATGATACTACTGATAGTGATGATGAAGGGGAGGAGGAAATAGAAGATAATGATATTATGGAAATTGATGATGATAATAAAAATAGTAGCAATAATGATAGTGGTAGTAGTGGTAAACAGAAGATGTCAAGGGAACCAATTATCGATGAAGAAGGATTTCAATTGGTGACAAGGAAAAAAAGATAAATCATTCCAAAATAAAAACCCGTATTTATTTAAAATGAATTTGTTCGTTCTTTCATTATTCCAGGAATCCTTCGGGATTTTTTTTTTTAAATGCTATCTCATGAACTGTCCTCAATACATTTGACATCGGAAATAGTAGATATAATATTAAAAATATAAAGTAAAAAATTTATTTAAATTAATATTAATTTTATTAATAATTATTGGAAAAATTTTTTTTTATAGTCATCATATGCAGAAGGAGGTTATCCATTAGGTTACAATTACTTTAAACTAAAATTGAAGTCTGCCTTTATTAAGAAAAGTGAATTAACTGATCCATTGAAAATACAAGAAACAATTAATCACAGAGAATACCTTTTAAAATGGTTCCATACAAACTTGATTATTAATTTGATTTGAATTAATTTCTGATTTTCTTTTTATAATATTTTCTTTGTATTAAATAGAAAAATATTGATCATTGAAGAAATTTTATTATTCTGATAAAGATAATTGTAATAATAATGATTTATCCAACAATTACCAAGTTACTAATTTATTAAGTAGCTGATTTTTTTTTTGAATTGATCAATCAATTAACCGAGTTATTGTTGATTTGTTCGACGTTGACGTTGACATTGATGATGGTAATGGTGGTGGTGGTGGTGATGATGATGGTGATGATGATGATTTCTCTATCCATTGAACTAATCCATTTGTAAATGGTTCAGGTCTTAATAAACTTTTCTCTATGTAAAATTTTGTTTTGTTACTGCTATTATTATTATTTTTTACTTTCCAAGTAATATATTGAAATTTGTAATCTCTTGAGACGTCAACTAATTCGTTCAATTTTATTAAAGTTTTGATTCTATTACCAAAAAAACCCAAAGTTTCAAAGTAAAGAGATGGATTTCCTGATTTATCCAATTTGTATGGATCAAAAACATCTGTATTATTTAACTTGCTTTTCTTGAACGTTGGTAGATAAAGGCATAGACGAGTGACATATGTTGCGCTTACATGATTTATAAACACAAGTGGAATGATTGAGGCTAACACTGTTCAAGAGAATAAAATAATAAATTAAATAATAAAATGTGACTTTGGAAAATAATAATAATTAAGTTAAATCATTACCAGCAAGTCCTCCTAACATTGGTGCTCTTCCATAATAAAATATTAATGGTATTGTCATTAATCCTGCAGCAGCAAATACTAGGGACATTCTTTTATAAAGTATCATATTTCTACTCATAGGTCCAACATAGATCAACCACAAATTATGAAGGTTTATTTTTAAACTTTCATCATTTTTATTACTACTAACAGCATCACTACTAAAATTTCTAATAAATTTTTTATGATGGTTAATAATACATTTGTAATTAATAATAATACTTTTATTAATAAAGGTTTTATGACAATTTAACAATAATAATGGTTTAGAATGTGGTTGATGATATAAAGTTCTTAAAAGATAATTCATTTTTCAAAAAAAAAAATTAATGATTTATTTACTAAATAAAAATGAGATTATCGAAAAAAATTTTAAATTTATAAATATTAAAATAATGAAAAACAAGGTTTATCTAAAATATATTAATCAAATAAACTTGAAATTTTCACCATTTTCACCTTCTTCTAAAGCTACTAGGTAAGCAATTTAATAGTAATAACGAATAAAAGAATGTGATAATAATAATTCTTGTTCTATTTAATCATTAGAATATTCCTTGCTCGTGTTATGAACAATAAATTATCTGAAGAAAACCCAAAGATTGTTATAAATACAACTTTATTAACTGATGTAAACGAGGAACCACAAATAAGTGTGACTTATCGTATGTTTGATATAAATCTATATTATTAATAATAATAGCAATGTTAAGATTCCATCTGATCATTACATTAATATTAACCAAATTAAAGGCGATGGCAAAAAACTTGAATTATTTCCTGGCGAAAGAAATATTGACGAGTAAGTGTGATATATAATGAAACTTACTCGATTATAATTCTTTTCTGTTCATTAATTCATCCATTTAATTATTGAATTACCTTTTTAGAGTTTTACAAATTGTTGGTAAACATTTAAGAAAATTAAAGGAAAAAGAAGAATTTACAAATTAAAAGGTTTTATAAAGAAAATATTATTTCCTGCTAAGAATTTGTCAGTAATTCCAATAATTGAATAAAAAGGATATTATTTTTTATTATACGCTGTTTTGTATTCTTACTAATTATTTGCATTTATAAATATAAATTCTTTATCCAACAGCACAGTTAAAATAAAATTCACAAATGGGTATTTTAATAAAAAAGCTTGATATTATTAGTATTGTATTACTGTATCTAAACACATCGATATCAAAAGTGTTTTATTTTCGTTTTTTGTTTCATAATAAACTTTTAATTATTCAGTATCTCCACGTAGAATTCAATAAGGATTTAGTTTTTCCCTTCTGACTTGTTTTGGTAAGCAATTACTTTCTAAGTTCAATTTCATTTTCAAATACAAATTGACAAGATTAATTAATCACCCCTATCAAATTATTCTCAGCTAGGTCTGCATGATTTTTGGATGGTTCAACATGTTCTTCACTAGATGACTCGTTTTTTTTACTCGTTTACTTTTCAAAATATTTTTCCATGGGATCACCTTTCTATAAAATGTAAATATATGTTCACCATGGAGAGAGATTATTGTTATAGTGGTAGAATTTAATTCTGCTTTAAATTTTGCTCTTATGTAGCCAACTGGTGTTGACATTTGATGTAGCAACTACAACAGCATTTAACGTTTTTAGAATATTTTGAAAATTTAGAAAAAAATTAAAAATGTAAATAAATACCGATTAATCTCTTTTGTATTTAATTTTTTTCCTTATTTAAACAATTTGGTCATTTTGAATCAAATATGCATGGCGATCACAATAAAAAAATAAATGAGGGTAAAAATGTATTCTTAGCAAGAGGTGTTCTTTACAGAATTACCTATTAAAGGACAATACATTACATGCTGTCACTGTAGAAAGGTTTCCTAATTTCGGTAATCATAGAAGACTTATTATGTGAATTCGCAATTCACATGTGTGAAATTCAAATTTACATGTGTGAAATTCAAATTGGCCAATCAGAATTTCACCCCACTCCATAATATTTCAATTTCGCATACATTAGAACCATAAAATTGCTTTGCTTAAAAAAAAATTCGGATTTTGAAGTAAAAAAAATTTTTTTTTGTGTAATTTGTGATGCAAATTTGGGACTTCAACCAGTCTAGAACCTTTTAAATGATAAATAAAACTTATTATTATGATGGAATCCTTCGGGGACATAAACAAAATCCACAAATTCAAAATTTGATAATTATATTATACTATTTTAATATAATTTCATTTTCATGTACAACATATCTAAAAATCATATTATTTTTGTTTGCAGAATATTTTTGTCATGTTATTACAGTATTATTATTATTATTACTATTACTATTACTATTACTATGGGAGGTTGTAAAATTCGAATTTACATAGTAAAATTTTATAATCGAATGTCTTCACACTCTCGTTTGATACCACCAAATTTGATATATAACTTCTTTATCATATGTATCTGCTTTATGAATATTTTTAAAGCAGGTTGTTAATAAAACCGAAAATAATCTGACCCTCAAAGTCAAATTTTGCCTTTACAGTCCCCGGCGAAAGTAATTGCGGTACAATAAAACATTATTTTTTATTAAGTAAATCGATCTTTTTATGTTAAATAAAGTTGTTCACAATGAAAAATTCTACATATTCTAAAATTTTTAGAGAAAATTTTTTGATGTGTTCTTGCACTTTACATTTGTGTAAAAAAATTTGATTTTTCTATTTCGTAAAAGC